CTACCAAACAAAAGGCGGTTCTAACCACCTCCAGTACACATTTTCATACAGATGTGCGATTCCCATGAATCTTACAAGGGCAACCTAATAGAAGACAGAAAGCCACAAGTATACATATTTCCACTGTGTTCCACCTCTATGAAAATGTCCTTTATTATTCCCTTTCCCCAGTATGAAATGCTACTGAAAGCACAAACAGAATGCTAGGAATGCCATTATGCAAGTTTCTTCTCCAAGAAGATGAAGGCAAATTCTTTCCTAGTTTTGTCACTTTTTCTACAGATAGCAAAAGCAACCAATAAATTACTAGCTGATTCTAGCACTTAAAAAATAAAAAATAAAAAAAAGAATCGGAGCTTTCTGAATTACAATCCAGAACTAATCTTTACTTTGATGCTGTAAGTTTCATTTGATTCTGCAGTTGTTCAGATTTCCCAGCAAACTCAGCAAGACCTCAATGTGCAGAAGAACTGTGAAGTCAAGTCCATATTTAATACCTGCTGTCTTTGTGTTTAAGGACTCAATCCATTGATTGAAACGTTTAATACTTCAACTGGGAGCTCATCACCCTGTCTCCCTCGACTTCATGAAGTCATACATAGATGCAATTCTTGCCACAACAAATGGGAGTGCTGTGTGTACCTTGGGACAGAGTTTGACATTAGGTTCAACTTGATTTGGAAATGACTTTCAGGTTTTATTTCAGTTCTCACTGAAGCTTATAACCCTTTTTTACTTCAACAATTTTGAAAGTACCCAGCCGTATGAAATACTGAGCTTTGGCAAATACCAACAATTTACCCTTTAACATGGGTAAACAATGCTGCCATTTCCAGGCACAGCACAGCATGAATTTCAACAAACCAAAAACACACTTTCTCCTTTTCTCCCAGCCAAAGATGCAACATCAGTAACACCAGACATCTTCAGCTAAATCGTTTCCAACAACTTGCATAAGAACTGTACTTAAATTTTAAGAAGTCTAACACTTTCCACAAACAGGCTTTGCTGGTGATCACCACAGGCAAAATACAGTCAGTGATTTAATTTCAGATATACTACCCAAAAATACAAACCAGCAATAACACCGGATGGGAAAGTCTGCATGACACTAATGTTGATTCTCTGCATAGATAGTAAATTATGGTAAAGAAATGAGGCAGTGCATAAGTGAATGGCATACACATAATGTCTTTCAGGAAGACATATTTTTATTACTGCGCTCTAGGACAGGCTGTCTGAATTCAGAGTTCATCCCAGTTGAAAATATAGTAGCCCACACATGCTCATTGTTAATTTTTAAGACCTGGCTCACCACCTAATGCTTATATCAGTAACAAGTAACTTCTGACTGGAGGTTAAAGGTTTGTGTATTTGTTTATCTTAACAATTAATAAGAGGCAACTTTCTAAAATTAAAAGACCCTTAATGACTCTTTAAGGACATAAAGAAAGCAAGAATCACATGCAGCAGAGCACCTCTGGTGTGCTTTAAGGCCAATGCTGGCTCTTATGATAGCGCTTTTATTTACATATAAATGCTTGTTGCTTGACAATTTAGATAAAAATGTTACCGCTGCTCTGCATGTGCTGTAGATTGAAGGTGTAAAACCACTGGACCAACTAATGGAGTCTTCACACATCATATCTTGTTAAAGAAGAGGTAACCCACTCTCAAATGCTATTACAATTCATCAAAACTATAGCAGATGAAAGATACTCTTCTAACAAAAGTCTAACTTTTGTCTTTCTGAGTTGGATGCCAAATTAAGTATTGACTGAAGCTGCATCATTTCAATAATGAAAATGATGGCTCTGTGGTGCTTATTTGAAAGCACTGAGAAAATATTAAAACTGCATTTAATTCCATATTTCTCTAAACAACCAACATAAAAGAAATATCAATGGCTGGCCAGGGATCCTTAATTAGGTTGCAACTTAAAATCCAACTGTGCATAAAAGTCTACTTTATATATTTACCTCATTCACCAAAAGTTGAGTTTGTCATTCAGTCCTTTCTGTCTTTATTTGTAGCTTTCAAGAAAAGGAAATACTGCCAGAAATGCCAATGACTACAATGGAAAACTGATGAATAGGGGTACTGAAAGATAACCCTCACTCCTGCTGTATTTCTAACAGATGTGGATGATGTGATCATCCATTCATTTTACTACCTGTTTCATCATCCACATGTGCAGTTTAATTGAAATGCAATTTTAGCATCTTTTGTATTCAGTGCATGCACAGTCAAAGGTATACATTATTGAATTATGAATTAGTTGTGCCTAAACAAATCTTCGGGGGGGCAAGGAGGGAAGGAATGTAAATACTTATGTAAAAATAACCTCCCTACTTACATTGCCTGCTTAAGTGTTTTGGTATAGCCACAAAAAGTGAGAGCTTGACACCTCTAAAAGGCTCCAACCTTAGCCCATCTATTGTCTCAGTAGCCTTCAGTGCACCTCCTGCATGCCCTCAAGGACCGATAGTTCATTTACAAGCCATTACCTAACGAGCAACTACTAATTATAGCAAGTCTGCAAAGTTACACTACCATTTTATGACTTGGTCAAAGGCTAAGACCTCCACACTCATTTCACTTGTGACCCAAGAAAGATTTCAGTTTAGACCTCCAGAGGTGGCAGTCTGGAGCAAAAGGACACCACACAACCAGCCAGACTCTTATTTACATACCTTCCTGTTGCACAGGATGACAAAATCAGTAAAAAAAAAAATCTAGGTTTTTGCCTAAACCCAGTAGTTTCCTGTTAGGCCAAATAGGCTGTTTACAGAATTTTAGTATTTTATGTTTAATTACTTCATAGTTTATAGATTTATTTATAAGGTTATGAGAAGGGCAAGTCATAAATATACAATGACTGCTTACTAGTTAGTTTAGATTATACATAAATATGTTGTGCAAGCTTAGCAAAAACCTTTTTCACTGAGCTGAATCAGAACATTCAAACTGTATTTTCAAATGTGTCTCTCTGCCTTATCTAAATTCCAACATGACACATAATAAATAGCTTCTCATTTACTATGATCATAAAAATTTAAACAGCCTTGAAATAGTTGTTACAATACAGGAGAAAATGATCAAATGTATGTTCTAAATACCCACTTAGAACAGTAAAACTATTTCCATATTGAAGAAAGAACACATAAAGATGTATTGTTGCAGTAAAGGCTGTTACCTTGTTTAAAAAAAAAAATCTTCTACTCAGTATAGTGGTATTAGACTCAACAACTTGCTGTTTTACACTGCAAAAAAAAAGGACTAACAGCCCTTAGCTATCACGTAGTGTCAGATTTGCTTTAAAAAAGAAAGTATCTGATTTGATTCCATACAGTGATTAAATATCTTTGTGCTCTGCTGAGTAGGGTATTCTATCCCCTCCCCCCTCCAAAAATGGCATCAAAGCAATCAAAATGGTAATGTTCAGCATGAATGGGGCCCCATCCCCCACCTTCAAACTCTGCAGACTTTTCTCCATGTTAGAAGAAACCAACACCCCTTCCTCACAAAATGGAAGCTTCCACTACCAAATTGAGAGTGCTGACAAATTCTGATTACAATAAACTGGAAGGAAAAGGGTGGCATATAATCACTATCACCTATGGGCAAAGATTATATATGCACGGATCACTTTTCAACTTTAACCACAACTCTGGCAAAACAAAACAAAACAAAATCAGGGGGAAAAAGAAGGGGAGAAAAGGGGTGGAATCGCACACGTGCCCCTTCGCCTCTTCCCGGAGGTCCCTGGCCGGGGAGGAGGCGGTGGCTGTGGAGCTGGCAGCGCGGCGCCCCGCGGGCGCTGTCCCCGGCCCCGGTGCTGAAGGGCTGCTGCATTCCGGTGGAACCGCGCTCGCTCCCGCCGCCCGCGGGGCCGGGAGCCGAGGGACGGGGAGGGGAGCCCAGCACTGCCGCGCCGGCCCCCAGGGGAGGGGGGCATAAGGAGCGGAGGGGTGGAGAGGGAAAGTTAACCCTGAGGGGGGGTGGCTCAAACAGATCTCCTACTGGCTTTGTCAACTGCACTTCCTGCCCTGGAAGTCCTGGAAGTGGGGACAGGGGCCCGGGGGGGAGGGGGTGCGGATAGTTCGGTGAGTGTGAATGCGAGTGTGCGGGCGTGAGCGTGTGCACGGCAGCGGCGGCCGCTGTCCGCGGTGCTGAACGCCCGCCGCCCCCCGCCGCGCCTGGCAACTTTCCTCCCGGGGGGCGGGGAGCGGGTCACGGGCGGAGCAGCGGTCCCGGGGGTTACTCGGCACAAAAAGAGGGACGAGAAAGTTTGGGGAGGGAAGGGGGAAAGAGAGAGGGGGGAGGGAGGGAGGTTTCTGGTTTGTTTTGTTCCCCTCCCCCGTTTTAGGTATTTTTTTTTTTTTCCCCGGCAGCTGAAAGAGGTTAATCTGTTTTTATTCATATTTTTGGAAGGGGGGGAAAAGTGAAAGTGCCTAAGTGAACTCGAATCAAAATCTAACACGTCAGATCAGACCAAGGGAAGAGAAAGGCAAGTGGGGAGGAAAAAAAAAAAAAAAAAGAAGAAAGAAAATAAAGTGATCAATAAAAATCAGTTTTGTAATCAAACACAGCAATGGCTCCCAACTCGGCTCCAGCCTCCTCCCTCCCAACTCTTGCTCTGCACATTACACGGAAGTGCACAAAGTAGCCCAAGACAGGAGAATTTTCCATATTCCTAAAACATGTCGACCAACTCAAAATGGACGCCTCATTTTTTTTTTTTTTTTTTTTTTACGTTTTAACTACTGCTTATCTTCCTACTACTAGTACTAAAATCATTCCTTCCCCCAGCAAGACATCCGAGACTCCGACCTCATTTTGAAAACATGCATTTTCTTACTTTACGCTTAGGAAAATGGATGTTATATTCCCTGCTGTCGGTATTTTTCAGCTAACGCAGACACTTTTCGGATGTTTAGATAGTGCATTGTAGAAACAAGAAGAAAAACCAAACACAACTGAATCGATCTGTTCCTTACTTGTTTCTCATTAAGAGCTGCTATTCTTGATTGCCTTTCATGGATTTGTTTCTTAAGATCCCCGTTCTGCAAAAACGGCAACAAGATGCATATTAAAGGCAAAGTGTAAACTAACCCCTGTAATGAATAAACTTGCGATCTAGAAATTGTTCAAAGCCAAAACCGTTCCACCAAAGCCGTACGAAAGCATGCACACACAAAACACCCTCCTTAGTAAGAAAGCTCAGTGCAGGCTACAAAATGAGATCTCTTACTGATAAAGTTTCTCATCCTGCTGTCCCAGCACAACTGCGCTTATTACAGCAGGGATAAAATACTGAATAAGAGTAAAAAAAGGATCTGCATTTACCTGTGGATCTTGCTTCATCTGTGCAACTAGTTTCTAAAAAAAAAAAAAAAAAAAAAAAAAAAAAATCACCCCCAAAAAAAGGAGGAATTAGAAACTGTTTCAAGTTTAATGGATTTTTTTTAAAATGTATGTATGTGTGTGGACGGGGGAGGGAGGGGGGTAAGGAACAAAGAGGCAAGTAAACACTGCGAGTCAGTTTCAAGCAAAGCTCATAAATATTCAAGTCTCGTCCTAATCTCTCCAACACACACACACACACACTCGCACACACGCACACACTCACTCACACTCACGCACACACACTCAGCACTATCACCGACCGCAACGTTAACTCCGCATCTCCACAACACACACCACATACACACACACACAAAAACCCCAAAACAAAACTCAGCCAAACAAGCCGCAAAACTACTTTGGCGAAGTGCTCGCCATTGCCACGGGGGGCCGGGGGGGCCCAGGGGGTCCCCGCCGCGGCCCCGACTCCCCCCCTCCGCCGCCCCGGCCGCGGCTCCGGCCCCGCTGCCCCCCTCCCCTGATCGATAGACCCTGCGACAAGAAGCGAAGGCTACTTGGTAAGCATGCACCACGGGCTCCCTTCCGATCCTCCTCTCCCTCTCAAAAGCGCCGGGGATACGAAAGCATTTTTTATTTGCTTATAATTTTATTGTTGGTATTTTTTTTTTTACCTGATGACATTGGATTTCCACTTTTAACGCCTCTTGCAAGCTGTGTAGCTCCATCCCTGCAACTTGCCAGGCACTTTCCTGCCACTTTCAGATCCGAATGAAGTTTTTTTTTTGTTTGTTTGGTTTGGTTTTTGGTTTGGTTTTGTTTGGCTTTTTTTTTTTTCCTCTCTCTGTCCTTTTTTTCTTTTGCTTCTTTTTTTTTTTTTTTGGCTTTTTTTTTTTTTTCTTTCTCTCGCTTTTTGCAACCGACCCGCTGCCAGGCAGCCACCCCTCCCTCCACGGGAAAAAATAGAAAGTAATTAAAAAAGGAAGAATAAAAAAAAAGACAGACCAGGAAAAAATAATTAAAAAGTTAAAAATAATAAAAAAGACTGGCAGTAATAATAATAATTAAAAAAAAAAAAAGGAAGGAAAAAGCGACAACAACAGTCGAAAGAAACAACTACTCAGTCTGCAAAGCAAGTTCTTTGCTTCTTTGCTGGGGACACAGACTCATCACTCACTTTCCGCCAAAGTAGGGGGGCCCCTCCCCCCGGCGCCCCCGCCCGCGCGCCCCCGCGCCAACCCCCCCACTCCCACACTCCCCCCGCCACCGCCTCCTCCCCCGCTCCGCCCCGCAGCCGTTCCACCGCCTCCCGCCGCCAATGGGGACGGCAAAGGGCTGGGAACGGGAGGGACTATATTTCCTCGGAGTGCGCGCCTTGATTTCACTTTGCCTGGGGAAAAAAGTTGTGCCTCGGCTGTCAATGCTAATTCGGCACCGGTGCCCGGATGGACGGGGGGGAGTGAAGGCTTGCGGCCTGCGCATGCGCCCTCACCCTGCCGCCGCCGCCGCCGCCGCGGTAGGCGAGTGAACAACAAAGTGGCGGCGCGCGCGCGCGCCCTCGCTTCCCCCCCCCCCCCCCCAAGTTGTGGGCCCGTGGGGAGAGGGGCGGGCCGAGACTCCCCCCACAAACACGCTGTTCCCCTCCCGTCGTGTCAGGGCTGCCGCCGCCACCGGTGCTGCTCCGTGGTCCTACACTTACGCACCCCCACGTTAAAAGGGTTCTTGGAAGGGGAAGGGACCCCCCCCCCCCCGCCAGCTTGGCGAGAGGCAGGTCCCAGCGGCTGGGGAGGGGAAAGTTTGTGTCAGTCCCGTTTCACGCACACGCACCCCCTCCCCGCTCCATCTTCTCCGCGTACTCTGCTGCTCCCCTCTCCACTTCTCCCGGTTTTGTATTTCCCGGTCCAGCCGACATGGGATTAGCCGCTAACAGGGAAGCCGTTCTTCACCCCGTCCCGCCACAGGGTGTGGGGACGGGGTGTGCCCGCCGCTGGGGCGGCTGCTTCCCCCCCAAAAGAAAGAACTTCCCCAAAAATCTTCCCCAAAACCTTCACCCCCCAAAAGACTTCCCCGAGCAGCCCGAGCTCCCGCTGGCGTCCCGGCAGCCCAGGGGAACAGGGGCTTCGGCATAGAGTGGGGCTCCAGCCCGCTCAACGCACAACTTCAAGAAGCAGGGAGGGAATTCTCCTCTTGGCAGCGGTTCGAGTTGGAATTGTTCGACGTTCATCCCATACTCGGCCTCCTCCAGTTCACCAGAAGAAGCTGCTGCACCCATGGGTTTTACCGAGCCCAACAGCTGGTGTCCTCGCATCCCAAAACGGGACGTCATACCTGAGTCACGTTAAAAAGCAAAGTGGGTTTAGAGGAGCTAAATCACTTTTCTGGTGGGCAAACTGTTTTCAGGTCTGCAGCTGAGAGCACAACCACCCAAACAGCAAGTTGCGGCAGCTAAAGGGGCAAGGGATGGGAAGTGTGGGATACTCGTCATGCAACCCACTCAAGCAAACTTGCTGCTGAGGGGTTGGATGGTAAGGCGGAGCCACAGCTTCGGTTTAGTTACTAAATAACAGCAGAAAGACTTTTAACCAGAAGGGTTGGCTTAAGTGGATAATCCAGTTCATTCAAGTCAAGCCACAGTTGCTTGGCTGTCTGCAACAGATCCATGTGCCAGCGGGTCACTCAGCACCATTGATGAAGCCTAGATCAGGTGCGGACAAAAAGATATCACCTTTACATTTGCATGCAGCACTTTTTTTCCACAAACACGTGACCCAGCTTCAGGTCCTATTGGCAGACACTGCCCAATCCAGCATCAACCCTGCTGTCAATTTTGTAAAATACATTCAAACTGGCAGTGCAAATTTATGTGAAGTCAATGTTTTGCCATGCAGCTGCGGTATTCTCTATGCAGTAATAGGAGCTGTGCAGTTAGATTTACTGTTGTCTTAACGCATGGCCGGAGTGGGGTTGGAAGCCAAAAATAATGCTCAGAATAAATTTACTAATGACAGTCAAAATTTAGGGCATGCTTTAACAAGGAGTTAGCTGATGGAGTGCTAGGGACAAGAACCTTGGTGCATACATACTCCCATTGCTGCAACGATTGAACACTGGTATTTCATTTAAACTGCACTAAAACATTAGATTGAAACTCACCCTAAATGATTAGCCACTATTTAAAACACCACTGTCCTCCAGATGTGCTTGGATGCTAATTTTAATAACTAATTAAATTCATTACAAAACTAATTAAGGACAACAATATAGCACCAAAACCAACTTACATCAACTATACTGTAATTAAAACTTTGAGATGTAACATGTTGGCAGTCCAAAACAGTGTATCCAATTTTCATTAAACTTCTGAAATATACTTTGTCTGAAAATAACACAACTTCTTACATTAAGGTTGTACAAAGGTTCATGGACAAATATTCTCAGCCTGCCAAAATTAAGAATAAAGACTAAGTTGAAAAATTCTGTTAACCTTACAGGTAAAGAAATTATTTTAGAAAAGCCTTATTCAAGTTAGTTATGTTTATTATGGTATTGGACTACATTTACAGCATTTGTTTAGTGTCTGCACACTGCTAGAACAGGTAAAATCAAGAATTAGGTTCTCTCTTTTTCACAAGATAATGCCTAAGTCTGTTTTCCACAGGGTACTAGGTGTCTGAATTGGAAACACTGGAGTTTCTACTGGAAAGTTGTGTAAAACATAGTGTCGTGGTTTAAGCCCAGCCTGTCAATTCAACCACGCAGCCGCTCGCTCACTCCGCCCCCTTCCTCCCCCCACTGCTGGAGGGATGGGGAGGAGAATGGAAAGAATGTAACTCCCACAGGTTGAGATAAGAACAGTCCAGTAACAAAGGTGTAACACAAACCACTGCTGCTATCATCAGTAATAATAATGATAAGGGAAATAACAAGGGGGGAGAAAACAACCGCTCACCACCCGCCGACCAATACCCAGCCCGACCTGAGCAGTGATCTGGCCTTTCTGGGTAACTGCCCCCAGTTTATATACTGGGCATGACATGCTGTGGTATGGAATACCTCTTTGGTCAGTTTGGGTCAGGTGTCCTGTCTCTGCTCCCTCCCGGCTTCCCCTCCTCCCTGGAAGAGCATGAGACTCACAAAGTCCTTGGTCAGAGTACACATTACTGAGCAACAACTAAAAACATCGGTGGTATCAGAGCTATACCCAGGCTGAAAGTCAAAAACAGAGCATTGCACCAGCTACTAAGAAGGAGAAAAATGACTGCTACTGCTGAACCCAGGACACATATTAATCTGTCAAATACATTTGTGCAATAACATTATGCAGTCATCTATAAAAATGTTAACAACTTTATGCAATTTACTTGAAGATTATGGTGGCAAAAGTCATTTTACTTGCTGGAGGGACACAAGAGCTCAGTGGACTTCCCTTCCACCTCTTCATCTGCCTAAGAGACACTTACAGTTTAGCTGGAAAATGTGAAGGGAATGGGAGACCACATAGAACGGCTAGCAGCGAGGCGGAGGGGTCTGCTTAAGCATGGAAATTTATGGTTGTTGCTAAAAAATAAAAGTAATATTATATGAAGTATGACGTCATGTGATTAAACACATTTTTGATTGACCGCTGTAAAGATTATCCTCATTCTTAGAAGTTGCGGAACTGTACTCCTCTTTTCTCTTTGCAGTGGAGATCATGTTCAGAGCCTGGATGAGGACTTTTACACAAAAATATTCTGCATTCCTGGAGAAAAGGTGTGTGTTCTATAGTGAAATATAAATGTAACTTCTCTGTTACCCAAAAGTTTTGTTGGTTTCTATATGACTTTGTTTGGGTGAATAAGAACCAAGAGGTCAATTTTACAAACACTTCTGGTCATGGAAAGCTTTATGCATATGAATCAATTTGAGACTCCTTGGTAATAAAGTTACTTATGTGCACAAGCGTTTCTAAATCACACATTTTTTTTCTGCAAAAAGTTACCGCAAAAATGTATTTGATAGATTGACCTACCTCACAGGATTACCTAAAAACAGACTGTACAGTATCAATAGAAAGCCAGTAAATAACACTTTTTGTGACAATATTTCCTGCATACAGAGATTCAGGACTAATCATTGTATCTAGAACACAAAACACACAAAAGTTCTTTCTTCTAATGCACCAAATTACAGGTAGCCAGGAATCCAACACCTGGAAGTCAATCTCAGACTTCAAATTCCTACAAGAGGTGATGATGTTCCTTCCTTATCAGATACAATTACTGATTCAGAGGAAGACTTGCAAAGTTACAAAGAAGATCAAGACACTTAACTGCTTTTGGTAATGTCATATTTCTCTTACACATAACTTGGAAAATCCACATCCCCACATACCCTCACTTTCCTGCAAAGAATGCCACAAAGGTGTGGAGGATTAAAGTACTGGACAGTGGTTTGTAAAGACAATCAGTGGCTTTTCTGCAGAAGCCATGCACTTTGAATGCTTCTTCCCAAACTGGCAAGGAAAAGTGTCTGAAGATAATAAGATCCTGGGAAGGTGAACAAGAAGGGAGCAGCTGTTTTACACAGGCTGCCCTGGGAAAGTACTTGAAGTAAATGGCAATGTACAATGCAGATTCATCTTTGTACAAGCCACTATCAATTTTCCTAGGAGAGCAAGGGCTCTTACTGCAGGTGGGAATAGCCAATTATAATAAAACTTAGGAACCAGATAGGTAAGAAAACAGAAGAGTAGAGCATGAAGCCACACTGAAGGGCTTAAGGTTAGCCAAACTATCCAAGATGTGTAGTTTGCTCTGTATTTTCTGGATACCTCCCTCCTGCAATATGTTCCTACCCCTTTTAGGATCA